AGCAAGCGGGAGGCAGAGGCACGTATGCTGCACCCCAGAGGCCCTTGAAAGCGGTGGCCAGACCACACTTATCTTCACATCCCAGCACCCCACAGTGCCAGGCCCAATATACATCAGCATAGTTGGCGCACAGATCACGAAGAAAGCGAAAGATTGGGCAAAAGCGGCTTAGAAACAAGATGGAACGCGCAGTACAGGCCACAGCCCGATGAAGGAAGGCAGGCACAGAAGCAGGGGCCTATGAACCACCCTGGAGTCCTGCCTGTGCCTCCCCCACACCTCCACAAGCCTCCGAAGCATGTGCAGAATCCATCTCTTCCCCTGCATCCCTGGAATGACTGCCTGAGGTCAGGCCCTCAGTGCCCATCAGCTGAGCTACCTCAATCTTCAAAGTGAGTTTGAGTCTAAGCTTGAACCCTCGAATCCACATGTCCTCCACACTGTCCCCAAGGAGACCTCAAACCTCTCCCTCATGCCTCAGTGGCGCCAGCCCTACCTCTGGCAGAGTAAAGCCTGAGCTCTGTCATGTGCAGCGCAAGGCCACCTGTGGTCCAGGCACACTGCACCCATCTAGTGTCACCAGCCCTTACCCACCTCCCTCTCTTCAGTCTAGTAACAATTGCCAGGTCAGGCGTGGTGGCTCATGCCTTGGAATCCCAGCACTTCAGGGGTGCCGAGGTAGGCAGACTGCTTGAGCTCTGGAGTTCAAGACCAGCCTGTGCAACACAGTGAAACCGTTTCTACAAAATAAACAAAACTTAGCCGGGCATCCTGGCATGTACCTGTGGTCCCAGCTACTTGGGGACTGGGGTGGGAGGACCACATGGGCCAGGGAGGTGGAGGTTGCAGTGAGGCGAGATCATGCCACTGCACTCCAGCCTGAGTGACAGAACAAGACCCTGTCTCAAAAAACAAACACAGAAGCACAGCCGTCTGCTGTTGTCTCACCTGTGCAACGCTCCTCACAGTTCTGTCCTTCCTCACACCACTCCTCTCTGGAGTGTGTCGCCCATGTCCCTTCAGCTGGCTCTTACCTAAGCCCCCAAGTCTCAACTTCAGGATTACGCCTTCTAGAAAACCTGTCTGCACCTCCAGGTTCAGCCAGGAGCAACCCGCTTGAATGTATCTGTCCCGTTCCACTTACGTGGAAGTGGCCGTCTGTAGCCGACACCCTGACTACACCGCACCCACCCATTCACCTTTCATCCCAGCCTCGCCCTGTGCCTGGCACACAGCAAGCCCGCAATCATACTATGTTTACTGAATGGAACTGACAGGCCAGGTAGCAGGTTACTGTGGTGGGAAGGGACGATGATCTGAGCCATGACTGAGACAAAGAGCGGGGAGAGGACAGAGCAGAACAGAACAGGCATTTTTAAAACACATATTTTGCCCCCAATTTTTATGATATAATGGATATTCCCCCACTCCAAACACGTCTTCTATTTTTGCCACCCTCTCCCTCAAAACACACAGTGGAAATTTAAAACAAGAAAGTAAAAGAGCATGCCTATAGGGATATGCTAAGGCTACCTAATATCTACAATTATGCTACGAAGGACAGCGAGACCGAGAAAATTGGAGGTGGGGAATCAAAAAACAATTTCTTCTTTAATTTCTTTGGAAAAATCCAATTCTGCCTGTAAAAGCAATACAAACATAAATTTAAAAAAGTCAAAATTCCCTCACGCTATTCTTCCTTGGCTGTAGGCTACTGTTATTTTTAGATCTTCTGCTATACCCAGCTAAGACAATACACAGAAACGTGCAAAATGTCCTATATGAGTGTATTATCTAGAATAGTGTATAAATCCGTATGATTCTACACTGTTCACATAAAATGATACATATGCACGATTTCTAAAATAAAGTTATAAACGTGTTTCTGTAATTTGACTCTTTTCACTCACGTAATATTTTGTGTACATTTTAAATGCCAGAACCTACAAAATGATGTCAGTCCTTTTTTTTTTTTTTTTTAAACACAATCTGCTTACCATGAATGTTCTACAATTTAATAAACTCCCTACCTATGAGGATTGAGGACAAAATACTACGGTAAGCATCCTTGCACATTTTCTGGTAATTTCTGCACAATAAAATCCTAGAATTGGTGAGCCAAAAGGTAATGAACAAAGTTGAGTGTGTGTGTGTATGTGCACGTGCGTGTGTATTTTAGATGAAGTCTTGTTCTGTCACCCACGCCGGAGAGTGTGGTATGTGATCACAGCTCACCGCATCACTGCCGCTTCGAGTTCCTGGGATCAAGTGATACTCCTGCCTCAGCCTCCCAAGTTGCTGGGACTACAGGTGCATGCCACCATAACTGGCTACGGCACACAAATTTTTCACAGGTATGAAAGGATAAAGGTAGAACAGGCAGGACACGGAGACTGTCTACACGCAGGGTATGGGAGAATAAAGGACTCCAGGATTTCTGTGGACTCCTGGATTCCATGACTGGGTAGATGGCAATATCATTAACAATCAAAAAAGAGTTCACACCTAAGGTGTGAGCTGGACTAATCCGGCAGGGAGGGATGTACACGGGGTGGAGGAAGGAGCTGTGGCCAAAAGTGCAAATCAACACAGAACCATGGAAACTCCATCATTTAAGGAGTGATGGAAGCAGAGAAGCCACAAAGGCATGGAGCAGGCAGAAAGTTGGAACACAGAAGGCTTAACAGGAACACAGAAGCCTGAAGAGGAAAGGCTTTGAGGAAAAGTCAGTGCCAAATGGTACAGTGGGTCAAGGAAGATTTCTAACTGACCACCTGATGAGTAAATTGGGAGATATCAAATCACTTGGTAATAAAAATTCTAATGACAAGGTAGGAACCAATGCCAGAATCAAGTGGATTGAGGAAACAGGAATAAAGTGAAGTCTGCCCAGTCTTCTGAGAAGCTTCACTGTGAAGGAAAGGCAGGGGTGGAGGGAGGGACTGGGATGTGCTCACGTTTTGAAGCGAGTGACTGAGCATGAGCATAAACCAAGAGGGGGGAGCCAGTGAGATGACGGGGTTCACATGCAAGACAAGTGGAGAATCTTGAGGGGAAAGAGGCAAAAGAGCTCGCAGACAGAGGCGTCAGGCTTGCACACAAGCAAAGTGCAGGAGCTCGAGATGTACCATCTTGGGCTTCCTCGCATGGTTCAAAGGCAAACGCAGTGGGGCTCTGCGGAGAGGACGGTAATAGACAGCGCTGCTTTCCAAACCTATGTCCACAGGGATCACCTGTGGATCTTGGTAAAGGCAGATTCTGTCAGAAGAACAGAATTCAAGCTCCAGTTCTAATATTTATGCTGTCACGCATGGAGTAAATGACTATTTCCCTGAACTGCACTTGTAGCCGTAACTTCCCAAGCTGTTAGGATGGAAATGGCCCTGCGGGAGGTCGTCCACAAGAGGAGGACAGGTGCACATCTATAAAGCCAAACCACCGAAGAACGAAGCAGAGGCACAGGCAGATTTAGCACCAAGAACACTGTGTCATGGGGGAATTTCATTTTCTCCAAAAGAAGCGAAAAGCCAAAAACTAGATTTCGGTGAGAAAACTATGATTTTCAAAGGCTGAGAGAAAAAAGTTGATGGGGCATATTAGAATTGGTACATTTATAATTCAAAATGGAAAGACAGAGCCTTTGAAATAGTTAATGGAAAAAGTTTTCATGACGATGCCACTGACCTATTCATGTATAGTATGTGGCTTAGCTTTCCAAACTAGGCTGGATGTTTAAAGCTAGGTGCATCTCTACACACACACACACACACACACAGTCACACACACGTCTACAGTGCTGGATAAAAAATTAAAGCTGTAAAACAGCTTTGTAGCTTTTTTTTTTTTTTTCCTTAAGAAAACTCAATCCTAAATAGATTTTCAGCTGTTTTATATCTGATGGAATTTGTCTGTTTTATTCTGGCCAGCACTGTTTTAAGCCCATAGAAGATTTGTTTGTTTGTTCTGGAGACAGGGTTTCGTCATGTTGCCCAAGCTGGTCTTGAACTACTGGGGTCAAGCAATCCACCCACCTCAGCCTCCCAAAAGTGCTGGGAGTACAAAGTGTCAGCCACCATGCCTGGCCCAAAAAAATATTTTTCAAAAAATTATTTTTAATTTCTTTCCCATTTCCCTTTTCAGGAATGAGGAAGAAATTTTTTTTCCTTTGATCCAGGGTCTCACCCGGTTCTCAAGGCTGAATACAATGGCACTGTTGTGAGTTCACGGCAGCCTCGACCTCCCCAGATCAAGTGATCCTCCCACTTTTTTTTTTTTTTTTTTGGTAGAGACGGGTTTTGCCATGTTGCCCAGGCTGGTCTCAAACTCCTCGGCTCAAGCAATTCCTCCACCTTGGCCTCCCTAGAATGCTTGGCCTCCCATGGAATAAAAGGCATGAGCCACCATGCCAAGCCAAAAAGACTTTTTTTTGAGACAGGGTCTCACTCTGGCTGGAGTGCAGTGGCGCAATCTTGGCTCACTGCAACGTTTGCCTCCCAGGTTCAAGCAATTCTCCTGCCTCAGCCTCCCAAATAACTAGAATTATAGGCGTGTGCCACCACGCCTGGCTAATTTTTATCTTTTTAAAAATATGCAACCCTTCACGAATTTGCGTGTCATCCTTCCGCACGGGGCCATGATAATCTTCTCTGTATTGTTCCAATTTTAGTGTATGTGCTGCCGAAGCGAGCACTAATTTTTGTATTTTTAGTAGAGATGGGACTTCACCATGTGGGTCAAGGCTGGTCTGA